CAGGCTTCCTGGGAGTTCAGGAAGGCCGGAAATGGGCCCGTTACCACTGGTGAGATTCAAAAACTTTTACTACCGGTTCTGTGGGCGTGGCTTGGTGGGCGCGGCTTGGTGGGCATGGCAGGGGAAGGATACTGCAAAATCTTCATTCCCACCTCACTCCTGGGGGAAGGATACTGCAAAATCCCCCTTCCCTCCCCACCCCACTAACCTGCTTTCCAGCTCTGTTCTCCTGTGCAGGGCAACAAAAGGAGACCCAGCCGATCAACTGTGGGCATGGTTTGGTGGGCGTGGCTTGGTGGGCGTGGTGTTCTGTGGGCGTGGCTTGGTGGGAGCGGCAGGGGGAAGGACACTGCAAAATCCCCCTTCCCTTCCCTCCCCATCCCTCTAACCTGCTTTCCAGCTCCATTCTCCTGTGCAGGGCAACCAAAGGAGACCCAGCCAATCAGCTGTAGGTGTGGCTTGGTGGGTGTGGCTTGGTGGGCGTGGCATGGGAAGGACACTGCAAAATCCCCCTTCCCTCCGCACCCCTCTAACCTGCTTTCCAGCTCCGTTCTCCTGTGCAGGGCAACCAAAGAAGACCCAGCCAATCAGCTGGGACTCCATGGGAGGCAGAGAATAGATGGGGTTGGCGGGGCCAGTCAGAGGTGGCATTGGCCAGTTCCCTGAACTACTCAAAATTTCCGCTACCGGTTCTCCAGAACTGGTCAGAACCTCCTGAAGACCCACCTCTGCATTTCTGGCTTCAAGAGAGCCTCCGGAGTCCCGGGAAGCCGTTTTCATCCTCCCGGAGGCTCGAGAAAAGCCTCCGTAGCTCGAGGAGGGCAAAAATTCTCCCTCCCACCATGTGACAGGAGGCCGACTAGGCCACGCCCACCATGGCCACGCCCACCCAGCAACCAGGCAGAGAACCCTTTGCTAAAATTTACGAAGGCCACCCCTGGTCTCTACACCTCTTTTTTCTTGAATAACATGGCGACCAAAACTGAATGCCGTGTTCCAAGCGTGGCCCCCGCTGAGGCTGTATCAAAAGCGGTACTGAACACTTCACCTGATCTTGATTCTTATCTCTCAACGTTGCCCAACTTTTTTCGTGGGTTTGATCCCACATGGGTGGAGGCCAACTTCGTGACTCGCGTCAAGAAACATGGGTGGAGAATGGCCCAGGGACTTCACCCTCCAGCAACAGGAGTGGCTGGATCTCCTCAGGACAGGTAGCCAAGGTAATTTAAAGCATTGTCACGCAAACGGTGACAGAATAGAATAGAATAGAATAGAATAGAATAGAATAGAATAGAATAGAATAGAATAGAATAGAATAGAATACATATTGGAATGAAGAATAGAATAGAATAGAATTAGAATAGAATAGAATAGAATAGAATAGAATAGAATAGAATAGATATTGGATGAAGAATAGAATAGAATTAGAATAGAATAGAATAGAATAGAATAGAATAGAATAGAATAGAATAGAATAGAATAGAATAGATATTAGAATGAAGAATAGAATAGAATAGAACAGAATAGAACAGAATAGATATTGGAATGAAGAATAGGAATAGAATAGAATAGATATTGGATGAAGAATAGAATAGAATAGGTATTGGATGAATAGAATAGAATAGAATAGAATAGAATAGATATTGGATGAAGAATAGAATAGAATAGGTATTGGATGAATAGAATAGAATAGAATAGAATAGATATTGGATGAAGAATAGAATAGAATAGATATTGGAATGAAGAATAGGAATAGAATAGAATAGAATAGATATTGGATGAAGAATAGAATAGAATAGAATAGAATAGATATTGGATGAAGAATAGAATAGAATAGATATTGGATGAAGAATAGAATAGATATTGCAATGAATAGAATAGAATAGATATTGGAATGTAGAATAGAATAGAATAGATATTGGATGAAGAATAGAATAGATATTGGATGAAGAATAGAATAGAATAGAATAGAATAGAATAGAATAGATATTGGATGAAGAATAGAATAGAATAGAATAGAATAGATATTGGATGAAGAATAGAATAGAATAGATATTGGATGAAGAATAGAATAGGATATAATTCTTTACTGGCCAAGTGTGATTGGACACAC